GGACAGTGGGTATACTGGTAGAAGGATGTTAGAAATGCAGCTGCCAGGAAAAAGACAAAGAGGAGATCTATGGATGCAGTTAGAGAAGACATGGAGGTAGTTGGAGTGAGGACAGAGGATGCAGAGGACAGAGTGAAATGGAAGAGGATTACTCGCTGCGGCGACCCCCGAAGAGGGAAAAGCAGAAAGAACATTGTTCCATACTTTCCTAACAGAGCTCTCAGACTGCAGGTTTATTTCTTGTTACTCAAGTTTCCAAAAGTAGAATGGGAGGCAGTGTTTTCACTTATCAGGCTCCTCTCTTGTGGAATCAACTTCCAGTTTCTGTCCATGAGGCTGACACCTGGTCTACTTCTAAGATTAGGCTCAAGTCTTTCCTTTTTGATAAATCAAATAGTTAGGGTCAGCTTGGGTTTTCCTGAGTTATCCCTTAGTTATGCTTAAAATATGACCTGCATTACTTTTGCAACATATAATATAATATAATATAATATAATATAATATAAATATAATATAATATATAATCGCAAAGAGGTGAATTTTTCTTACATTTTTCCTTTCCTGTCTTCTTGTTTAGTTGCAGGAGTTGCAGGATAAGTATGTAGAGTGTATGGAGATGCTCCATGAAGCTCAGGAGGAGCTGAAAAACCTGAGGAATAAAACTCTACCACTCAACAACCCAAGGCGTTTTCATTCCCTGGGACTGTTCCCAATGGTCTGTGATTCTACATTGTTCTTCATTTCTGTCCTCAGAATCTTTTTATTACATTAATGACTGACAGCACCACAGCTCATTCAGGGTGCTGGTCCAACAGCAGCTGAATAAATTGTATTGTTTGACCGCTCAGGACTCTCTGGCTGCAGAAATAGAAGGCACCATGAGGAAGGAGCTTCAGATGGATGATCCAGATGTAGAAGAACAGAGGTATATGTTGTTTTATTTAATTTTTTACTTAATCTTTTTAACAAATCCATCTATCCGTTATCTTCAGCTTGTTGCGGCGTCGGGTGGCGGGGGTAGAAGCTTAAGCAGGGAGGCCCAGACATCTCTTTCCCCTGCCAGCTCTTCTTTTTTCTGGGAGGACTCCAAGGCTTTCCCAGGCCAGCCGAGAGACTAAAGTCTCTCGGCTGGCCTGGGTCTTCCCTGGGGCCTCTTTCCATTCGGTCATGCCCGGAACACCTCCCTAGAGATGTGTCATGGGGACATCCTTACCAGATGCCCAAACCACCTCAACTGGCTCCTCTAGATGTGTAGGAGTGGTGGCTCTACTTCCACTCTCTCCCGGATAACTGAACTTCTCATCCTGTCTCTAAGGGAAGTTCTTCTACCTTGCGGAGGAAACTCATTTCGACTGCCTTTATCCACAATCTTGTTCTTTTTGTCACTACCCAGAGTTTGTGACCATAGGTGAGGGTAGGAATGTAGATCGACTAATAAACAGAAAACTTCGCCTTACAGCTCTGCAGATGCTTCACCAATCTGTCTGTCCATCTCATGCTCCATTCTTCCCTCACTCGTGAACACAACTCCAAGATACTTGAAGTCCTCCACTTAAAGCAGAACCTCACTCCCAACCTGGAGAGGGTAATCCACCCTTTTTTTGAGGAACATATCCTCAGATTTGGAGGTGCTGATCCTTATTCCATCTACAGACACCCCCCCCCCCCCCCCCACACACACACACACACACACACAGTGTACCTTGAGGAACACAGTCAAGTGCCCTCCCCAAATTCACAGAACACATATGGTCTGGATGGACAAACTCCCATGACCCCTTGAGGACCCTAGTGAGGGCAATTGCCATCGACAGCATAGCTCCTAGGATTATTCAGGCTATCCAACTCCACTACAATTATATGGCTATTCAAGGAGAATTGTTTTCAGAGCAGCAAATCTGCAAACCCTCATATGTTTATTAATCTATTAAAACTTAAATAATTAGAAAATTCAAAAGTCCCACACTGACTATTATCTCTTTAATTCTGTATTCAGACTACACCCAAAGCGAGTGTTCCAGACTGTGAAAAACCTGAACTTGATGCGTCCACAGCGTTCCTCCACTGCCTCCTCTCCTCTCAACATCCCAGGCTCCAACCAGACCTCATGCTTTACCTCAGGGCGCTCCAGCAGGTTGGGCACACCTCGCTCCAACTCCATTTATAGCAGCGAAACAGGAAGCGGGATCATCTTTGACAACATAACGAGCAGTATCCTGGAGTGTCCAGATGATGGGTACAGTGTTACATGAATTCTTCTATCAACCACAAAATCTAACCTGTACATAATTTGACAATGGCTCGATATTGTAAATTTTCTAACCATAAACAACAATTGTTTGCCTATTTTGTCTTGAAATAATTAATGAATCGAACATTTTTAATAATCTTGTTGAAAACCATATTATGGTAGTCTTCAACTGTCAGTAAATGTTATCTTGTTTCACTCATACCTGTTGATCTGCTAAAGATAATCTAGTGAAACTTCTTACACATGTACTATCAGTAAACAGAGTGTTACATTCATGCCATTGCTACAGATTGCTGTATCGGTGTATAATGTGCATTATGCTGTACTGTTTTGTGTGTGTGTATATATATATATATATATATATATATATATATATATATATATATATATACAGAAGTCACTCGTTTATCACTGGGGATCCGTACCCTGAAGCCTCACGATAAGTGAAAAACCGCGAATTAGGAATAGTAGTACAATTACTAAGTAGTTGTTTAGTTTATGCTGGTGAAGATTCTCAGTCATCCAGGACATGATAAATTCAAAAAACGTTCAATACAAAAACAACTGGACTTTATTCGTAACAGAAGACGTTTCGCTCCTGATCCGAGGAGCTTTCTCAATTCAAAGAGCAGAGAGTGAGAGATTCAGGTTATAAGTGAGATAAGACACACACACATATGTAGATTGACAATTCACATCTAAACACCTTAACAGTAAGAGTCTTTTGTTCATCTAATTCACAGTCTAGGCCCCTCTGTTCCCATCAGGTGTGCAAACCGGCTGGGAATCAGTCTTAAAGTTGCATTATATGTTTTTGAAAGTGGAAATCTGAGGCCTCCTCCTCTGTTAAGAGATGTTTTTTCTCTTTTTACATAAATTGCTTCCTTCACCCTCCTCTCAAACCATCTGTGTTCTCGGTCCAAAATGTGCACATTTTGGTCCTCAAAAGAGTGTCCCTTATCTGTGAGGTGGAGGTGAACAGCTGAGTCTTGTCCTGAAGTGCTGGATCTCCTGTGTTGAGCCATGCGTCTGTGAAGAGGTTGTTTAGTTTCTCCAATGTAGAGGTCTGGACAGTCCTCACTGCATTGGACCGCATACACTACACCACTCTGTTTGTGTATGGTTGTTTCGTCCTTAGGGTGGACCAGCCTCTGTCTGAGAGTCCTGCTGGGTTTGAAATGTACTGGGATCTTGTGTTTGTGGAAAATCCTTCTGAATTTCTCTGATACTCCAGCAACATAAGGGATGATGATGTTTTTACGTCTGTTGTTCTCCTTTTTCTGTTTATTAGTGTGTTTTGTAGATTTCCTTGCTGACTTGACAAAAGCCCAGTTAGGATATCCACATGTTTGAAGAGCTTCTTGAACGTGTTTCAGTTCCTTTTCCTTCCCTTCTGTCTTCGTGGGGACGCGTTCGGCCCGATGTTGTAAAGTTCTGATGACAGAGAGTTTGTGTTCCAGTGGATGTTGGGAGTCAAACAGAAGATACTGGTCTGTGTGGGTTGGTTTCCTGTACACTTCAATGTTGAGGCTGTCCTCTCTCTCCATCTGAACCAAACAGTCCAAAAAAGGCAGCTTGTTGTCGTTTGCATCTTCTCTGGTGAACTTGATGTTGTTATCGACCGAGTTAATGTGTCTGGTGAACGCTTCTATTTCCTTGGCTTGGATTTTGACCCAGGTGTCATCCACATATCGGAACCAATGGCTTGGTGTTGTTCCCTCATAGGAGTTTAGGGCTCTCTGTTCCACTTCCTCCATGTAGAGATTGGCAACAATGGGTGACACTGGAGATCCCATGGCACAGCCGTGCTTCTGTCTGTAAAAACTGTCATTGAACTTGAAATAAGTGGTGGAGAGGCAGAGATCCAACAGGGTGCAGATCTGGTCTGGGGTGAAGTTGGTCCTGTTGATTAAGTCCTTGTCTTGTAGAAGTTGTTTTCTGATGCTTTCTACTGCTTCAGAGATGGGTATGCAAGTGAAAAGAGAAGTCACATCATACGATACAAGGGTTTCTCCTGGGGTTAGTTTCAAGTGTTGAACTTTGTTAGTAAAATCAATGGAGTTCTTTATGTGATGAGGTGTGTTTCCAACAAGAGGAGCTAAAATACCAGCCAGATGTTTAGCAATATTGTATGTCACTGAGTTCATGCTGCTGATGATGGGTCTGAGTGGTGTTCCTTCTTTGTGTATTTTAGGACTTCTCTTCTTGTGTGTATATATATATATATATATATATATATATATATATAT